CCCCCCCCTCCCCCGTTTTCAAGCAGCCTTCGAATTTCATCGAAAAGAGAGAGGCGCGGAGATAATGAGATTCCAAACGACAAAAAGCAGCCTTCGCTTCGCGTACTCTACAAAAAAAAAGTTTCGCGTGCCTCACAATTGGTGAGAATTGTGCGATTCGAATCGAACGAAAAGTAATAATAGCGGCTAGCCGAAAAGTTTGCGGTAGCCTTCCGGTCCCAAACACAACCATCCAACCAACTAAGACTTTCGATTCGTCCCCAGCCAGCACGAACCGTTTCGCACGCCACTCTTCGCGATAGGGTATTGTACTCACCCTGGTCCGGGGCCGGTGCCCGCGGCGGCGTACCGCACCGAGCTGACCATGGAGCGGCTCGGGGGCAGGTAGGCCTGCGTGGGCGCGCCGCGGGTGGTGGCTGCGCCGGCCGAGGACGCCGCCCCTGCCGCGCCCGCCTCGACGAGGGCGGCGGTGCTGGCGGAGGCGTGGTGGTGGGCGGCGCGGGCCGAGCCGGGCGAGGACTGCCGCGACGAGTGCCTGGACAGCGTCTCGGGGCTCACGATCACGGCCGACGGGCTGGCGGGCGAGGGCAGCAGCGTGCCCTCCGCCTTGACGCCGCCGCCCGGGGTGCCCACGCCCCAGCTGAAACACACGCGAATCAATCGGATTAGACAGGGCTGTTCAAAAAACCAAAACAAACCAAAAACAGGTGCTCACCAACAGGATTCGTCTGTGTGTGAGTGTAATGCGCTGCCTGTGTAATTACCCAAACATCGTAAAAGAAAGTCAACAAGGTTGCAGAAAATTCAGAACATGATGCAGTGCGAACCCCTCAGTCAATCGCAAAAGGAGCTTAAAGTCAGCTGTTGAAAGAGGAGTGTAGTAAGGAAAGTGCAGAGGGGTGGTGAGGCCTCAAATGGAACCGAGGATGAAAGCACTCCGACAAAATTCAGATATAGAGCGCGGCTTTATTACACGCGCCAGGACTACTCGTGCGAGGAGGACACCACACCCCCGCCGCCCGCCGCCCTCTAGCTGAGCCGGATAAACAGCTGCGTGAACGAGTACCACGAGCTGAGCAGGCTGTGCAGCGTGGGCAGCGAGAGGTTGCCCAGCCAGGCGGCGCGGATGGAGACGGGCTTGGTGGCGCGCAGCATGACGAACAGCGCGTCTCTGCGGAAGCGGCGGGCGCCCTCCTGCCAGTGGCCGGCGAACGCGGCGTGCAGCATGAGCTCGCTGCTCTCCTGCACCAGGTCGCCCTCCAGGCCCAGCACCGTGGTGTAGGCGAACGCGATGGGCCACAGCCCGAGCACGTACAGGTCGTGGTGGCCCTTGACCAGCGCCGTGGTGGCGAGGAGCGCGAAGCCCAGTGCGCCGCAGTGGATGTGGAACAGCGGCTGTTCGAACACGCGCGAGAAGCTCGCCAGCACCTGGGGCCGGGAGTGTGGCTTTAGTGACGTCACATAGAGGAGCGTCACACCCAGAGAAATGATTAGCAATGGCAACCATCTGATGGTCGGCTCAGGGAGCACCATAAAATATGGTTGAGACGACAGTGACAACGTGATGAAAACCATATTTTTGGTTCTCACTACCACGGTAAGATTGCATCAACCATATTTTATGGTGCTCCCTGAGCCAACCATATGATGGTTGCCAGTGCTAATCATTTCTCTGGGTGCAAACTCCATCTCTCTCGCACCGGATAACAGCGAGTGGTGCAAGAGAGATGAGCTCGGAGATGAGTCGTGGTGCAAGAGAGATGAGGCGACGGGTACCTGCAGCAGCTCGCGGTGGTCGTCCAGCGCGGCGTACAGCTGGCGGGTCGTGCGCGCCACCTGCACCATCTGCGCCAGGGTGCGCAGCAGCGCTGCGCTCACCAGGGCCAGGGTCACGTGTACAACCTGCAGCCCGGCGAAGCAGAAGAAGGAGCACGAGATGGCGGCCGACTGCAGTGCGTACTGCAGGCCGAACCAGAGCCCGCCGACGCCCAGCTCACCGGCCAGCTCGCCGGCCGAGCCCACTCCCGGCAAGTGGTCGTTGGGGAAGGTGAGGCGGACGGAGATGAGCGGCCACGTCACCATGAACACGAGGGCCACGGGCACGTCCAGGATCATGGCTGAGCGGCAAAGCGACAGCAGCCTGGCCGTGCGGCGCACGCGAGCGGCCCGCTCCGCCTCGAGCGCGACCTCCTGGGGATCATCGGGGCCAGCGCACAGCGCCAGCCCCTCCAGGCGGCGCGTCAGGCGGAGCAGGTCGGCGAGCAGCCCCCGCACCAGGTGGCGGTCGCGCGCCCAGAACCGCTGGTAGCAGGCGCCGCACAGCACGATGGCGGCGTTCATCGCGTCCTGCGTGCTACGGTTGGCCTCGCCGCCCAGGTGCACGGCCGCGTCCAGCAGGCACTGCACGCCCAGCAGCGCGCTCAGGGCAGCCGTCAGGTTGCCGCCGTGCACGAGGATCCAGAGGCCCTGCAGGGACCACGGCGAGCCCTCCTCTGCGGAGAGGCCGCGCGGCCGCGGGATTAGCGCCGAAGGACCTCGTACGAGACGAAGAGCGTGCCCGCCCGACGTACCCATGGAGGCGCAGGCCAGCTCCAGTGCGCGCTGCAGCAGCGTGCTCGTCTCATCGGGGTCCTCGGGAGCAGCCATGTCGAGCTCCAGCGATTGAATGCAGCCCAATCAGTCTCTCTCCAGCACTGCTTCGTCGGGCAATCAGCTGCGGCCCGGTGCTTATGGCGTCTTCCATGTTTGATGAAGACGAGACGACGTACGACGAAGAGCTCGACCCTTCTTCAAAACTTTTGATCGCGCCATCCATAATGCACGACACGATTACGCGACAGATCAATCAACTTCTGCTGAACTCCACTCCACGGCAACAGTTCTTGACAGTTCAGCAACCCTTTCCCATTAGTGCCCTTAGACCCGCACTCGCACTGGGTCGAGGGGGTTAAGGCCTCGTCCCGGACCCAACCCGTTCAGGTGTGCCCCTCGGGCCACGGGCCACAGGACTCCGCTTCCCGATGCTGCGGGCAGCGGACCGTGAGAGTTGTAAAAGGGAAGGGGGGAGGGGGCAGGGGGAGG